TTTTTGCAAAGAAAGTGGAGGGGGAAAGCACTTTCCTCGCAAGAAAGTGGAGGGGGAAAGTGAGGGAAGTGCTTTCCCCCCTCACTTTCTTTGCAAAAAGCTGCTTCCCCCTCCACTTTTTATGAGGGGGAAACTAGCTTTTTGTAAAGAAAGTGCAGAGAGAAAGCAGCTTTTTGTGAAGAAAATGGAGGGGAAAAGTACTTTCCTCTCAAGAAAATGGAGAGGGAAAGAAAGTATCGCTTTCCCCCTGCATTTTTTGTGAGGAAAGTGCTTTCCCCCTCCACTTTCTTTGCAAAAAGCTGCTTTCCCCCTCCACTTTTAGAAAATAAAGTGGAGGGGGAAAGCAGGGACCAAAGCACTTTGATCCCTCCCCCCCTCCTTACTTGCATGTATAAAACAACCCTCAATTTTTCCTCTAATTATTTTAGGAAAATGTGTCATTTTATAATGGAAAAATATGGTATTATATTATGTGGGATTTTGTGAGGTTTTAAATTTTAACCTATAAACTGCCCAGAATAATGCTTATACTAATGGGGCAGTACATAAATAAAATGAATAAATAGATAAAATAATTTCCAGTTTTTGCCAACAAAAGGTCCTATCATTAATGACCCTGCTCAGATTTTTAAATTAAAGGCCAGAGCTTCCTTTAATGAGTCAATAGTCAGTGGCAATCATATTAGGTCTTTCTCTTGAGTTCAGTCTTTCACAGTAGCTGACTGAGGGCCTTCCAAATTGCGAGTCTCAGATTCTAACATTATCTCTTGTTTCCTTTGGTTGTCTCATAAGATTTTAAGACAAAAGTTCCATTTATCATTGTCTTATGCTGAGCAGTACTAACAGGGGTTAGCTTGAATGTAATTTCCATTTTTATGAAAGATCCTCTTCCAGTGTCACTTTCTACTACTTTTGCTACCCAGGAGCTGACCATCTAAAATTTCTCTGCCCACCATCCTTAGAATGATCTATGTCCTTTTGCTAATGTGACTATTAAATCTTGAAGAAGAAGGATGTGTCTTAGTCTGCTTTCTCAGCTTTGACCATTCTGCTCTGCGTGATTCTGCTATAAGTCTAAACTCATAATGGAATACACATGGTTAGATCATAGCCCTATGTCTGACTCTTTTACATAATGACAGAATCAAAATTTTGGTTCTATGAGTTTGCTACATCTAAGTAGGGCTGTAAATAGGACATTTCAGAGGTTGCTCATTCACAGGGTTGCCATAAGTCAGAGGAGACTTGACAGCACATAACATTTTGAAAATGCTTTCTTTAAATAAAAATAGAATTGTACCTAACCCTGTGGACAAGAATACAATTTTCTGGAATGGAATACAAATGTTCCTCCAAAATATATAGAACCTATATGATTCAGGGTCCAAACATCTAAGTCCATCTAATTTCAAGAGAGCATACACTGAAGCAATTGACAAAAATCCCCCTCGTTGCCGTCTCCTGTTTCCTCCCACTTCCAGGAGGATGTTTTTCATTCATCCACAGAGCCGAGGAACTGTTTAATTTTCTAATACACTGAAGTGGCTTTATTCTTAAGCCACTTCACAGTACAGTGGACCCTTGACTTACAGATGGCTTGACTTACAGACTTTTTGAGTTACAGACTTCTCTGGCCGCAAAGTTTAGGTTTGACTTGCAGACTGAGATTTGACTTACAGACCAGAAAAAAACCAAAATGGAACAAAAACGGCCTGTTACGGGATTAATCGGTTTTCAATGCACTGTAGGTCAATGAAGACTTGACCTACAGACTTTTTGACTTGAGAACCACCTTCCAATACGGATTAAGTTCTCAAGTCAAGACCCCTCTGTATTGGTAATTTGGCAGTGGAAGGATTGTTTTTGGTTCATTTCCAGTGATTGCACACTGGAAACAAACAAAAACAGCAATCCTACCTAGAACGATCTATGTCTTTTTGCTAATGTGACTATTAGATCTTGAAGAAGAAGGATGTGTCTTAGTCTAAGTAGTAAAAAAAAGTAGTAACCCCTAACAGGGACCAAAAAGGTGTAAATAAGAACACTTTTAGGGTGGGCTGGTTCATTTCAGCAAAGACATTGTTTGATCACCATCTTTAGGAGTGAACTAACCCATCTCTGAGTGGACAAAACCATTCACAGAGACCACGAAAAAGGTGAGTTGTAAACCAAATCAGACCTCCACTAAGATTTTTACCAGTGTGATTTATTTCCATGTAAATATGAAATGGATTCTGTAGCATGATTCTGATTTCTCTAGCCACTTCTTCTAAAGCTCTATACATATAATCTAATCTCAAGAAATATTGATAGTTATACATTATGTGACTAAATGATACTTACTGAGTTTTTAATTCTTGTCTCTTCTGACCAACTCTTATTAATACCGTTTTTATGGCTCTCATACCAAAATCATAATGGTCCTAGAAATCATAGAACAAGAAAAGTATTCTTTTTAAAAATGTTGTACCCTGCTCTTGTGAAACTAGATGATTTGTTGGTTATAGGTGTTGCAGAGGTGCTGCTCCCTGTGATGGATGACAACTTTTTGGCATAGAACGTGATCTTCCTTGTCCATGCATCTTGCATTTAGTGTGTTTTCTGTTGTAACTAATCTCAGGAAGGTAAATAAAGGCCTTAATTTGTGAGTCTGAATCCTGAGGCAATCCCTGTAAATGTGGGAGGGAAAGTGGGTTGATCACATCTCCCTTGATTCTAGTTTGATCCTAATACATGTGTTAGTTTAGATCAGATTGAAAATTGTTTTTATTTATAACCCATCAGGTTATATTTTTTGGAATTTTGAGTCCCCTTTTTTACAATATATCCACCCGTGTACATATGAATTTCTCCTACAAATATATCTCACAAAGGGAACTCCAGTTGATGACAGTTTTTGTCACAGAAGCATCACTCGTAGTCAACATGCTGCAAGACCATTATGTTGCAATGAATGTTCGTAGCTCCTTCCCTGAGGACCTCCCCAGTAACTTTAAAGAAAAAGTACAGAGTGTGGCTTTATACAAGTTTGGCCACAAGAGGTCTGATAAAATCTGAGCCTACAT